ACACACACACACGGGCACACACACACACGGGCACACACACACACACGAGCACACACCACACACACACCACACGGACACACACACGGACACACACACACCACAACAACCGCCATTCGCCACTAAGTGGCGGTGACGTCACCACGACGCTTGTGCCAGGCTATGTGCACCCTGAGGCCACGTGAAGTGTCGAACGCCCGCTGGCAGGTCACGGGGCAGACCCAGGTGCCACAGGTCGACTGACTGAGATGACTGGCTGATGCACCACCTGTGCCCCCTACTGTGCCAACCTGCTGTGCTTTAGCCACCCGGCGCTCCGCTCGTTGTTCTGAGCGTTGCTCCTCCGCCCTCCGTTGTTGTTGGAGGGCGACTGCCTCCAACTCCAACACGGGCACACACACGGGTACACACACACCACACGGACACACACGGGCACACACCACACGGGCACACACACACGGGTACATACACACGGGCACACACACACACGGGCACACACACACACGGGTACACACACACCACACGGACACACACGGGCACACACACACCACACGGGCACACACACACACGGGTACACACACGGGCACACACACACGGGCACACACACACACCACACGGGCACACACACACGGGTACACACACACGGGCACACACACACACCACACACACGGGCACACACACACGGGCACACACCACACGGGCACACGTAAATTATGATGACATAAAATGCCCAGCAGCAGAAGCAGCCTTTAACATTCCCAGCGCGTGTTTTCAACACACACACGTGTTAATTTACGATCCGATGTGTCTGTATCTGTCTATCCCCACCCATGTCTCTCTATCAACTCCGTGTGTCTCTCCCTCCCCTGTGTCCTCACGCCTCTTCCCCAGCCTCTCTCCGTGTGTTTCCACGTCTCTCCGATTCTCCCCTTCCATCTCTCGTCGTCTCCCTGAGCCCCAATCTCGAGACCCCCTCCGCCTGCAACGAACAACGCGATCCGCTTTAGCTCATCGGTCTATCGCTCTTCCGGACCAATATCGCCCATCAGCATTTCTCTAGAAGCAAATTTTTGCTGGTTTTGCCATTCTGGGCCTCTTCTGTAAGAGACCGCGGACGTGTCGGTTTCTCGGCAATAATCTGGGTCTCATCAGCGTCAGCAGAAAAACCTGAAGGTCGAAACGCTCCTGAGTTGTCTTGCTGCTACAGCTGTATGATATTGTTAATTTGGTCTCTCTTGCTGATGAGACCCAAAATGTGGAAACCGGCCCAGAGCGCGCGTGCTTCAACAAATACTTGCTGCTGCTGTTGTTGCTGCTGGTGCTGGGCAGCGCATTGTGAGCAGGTAACAATCAATGAGCGTGGGTGTGTAATGAGTTCCAGCCCAGGGAACCAAACGCAGTCGCGACTCTCATTGTCTCAGTGGTTTCCCACGCGAAGCAGTCGTCACCTTCCCACGCCTCTCCTTCTTCACGTGCTGGGGGGTCTCGCCACGTGATCTTGAGACCTCACCCACGCGGTAGGGGGTGGGGAAGGTGAGAGACGTGGGGGGTTACGTGACACAGCTGTACCTGGAACCGACATCCACGCAACACGATAAGAAGTGGGAGCGGCGGGGGAAGGTGAATTGGGGTCAGTTCTTCGGTAACGGAGTTATGGGGTAGCCAGGGAAGGAGGGGGGTTGAAGGGGGTTCTCAGCCTATTCGGCCGTCCATAAATGATGTCACGCGATTTTGGACGATTTTTGACCCCCCCCCATCGTCACACGGCGTCACAAAGCTCTGCCCCCCCCCAAAAAAAATATAAAACATGCTTCAAATCGCTTTAAACTATTGTCATTGTAGTGCGTATTTAATGTGGTGCTGCACTTTGATGTTGTAGGAGAAAACATTATTTAAAAGTAGTTAATTAAGTAGAACGTGTTGTCTATTTATTTAAAGTTGCGCATTTTTATGTGACGTCACATTTCTCCCCCCCCCCCGTCACAAATGTCTGACCCCCCCCCCCAGGTGCGTGACGTCATTTATGGACGGACCCTATGACCAAATAACCCGGAAAGCGCCCCCCCCAAACTCGTCACAACTCGGGAGGCCAAGCGGGGCTTGATCCTGGACAATGGCTGGACGTGCGGTCGCCAACCGTGCAGGGAACACCGTCGTTGTGGGCACGTGCTTAGCGTTCCATTGTTGTACTGCACACTGCTATGCTTCTCGCGTCCTATGCCCCACGTCTTCACCAAGCCCCGCTAACCAGCGCGGTGAAAGTATGGTCATTATAAATAATCACGAACCGCACCGCGGTATGGGAAGGTCCTCATCCAGCAGCGGCTTGAACATGTCAGTGAACGCCCCCATGTGCTAAAAGAAACGTGCTTTAACATTATTTATCATTTGGGCCACCTCGAACAGCTGATCCGTTTATTAAAAGGTCACACTTAATTTTATGCGACTCGCAGAAGTGGAAACCGGTTCAGGGTTTACTTTTGAAACAGACGCTGTTGGGATGAAGAGGAAAACAAGACCTTTGGTTGACAATGGCTGCTGGGTTACATGGCCCCTAAAGCCTTGTTGGTGTTTAACGTGGAGATACCGGACAACCCGTATATGTAAAACACACACGCACCGTACTACGCACAGGAATAACACACCTGTGTACACACGATAATAATCCAACACACCTGTGTTTGTGCACACACACACGGTTTACCGCGATGCCAGGTGAGACCAGGCTAGGGGGCATCTGCTCTGTGCGTGGATAGTGGACTGCAGTGCAGTGGGGAGCGGTAGTGTAGCAGTTAGCGCTTTGCGTTTCAAACCCGGCGACTCTAGTTCGATTCCCGCTCACGACCAACACCGACTATTTAAACCAGTCATGGGCCTACCCTAGGGCGAGCGAGCTCAAATGAGTAACTGTGTAAACATCGCCACTCGGAAGACAAAGGCGGGCGGGCGTGGTGTTAGCCACCCATAGGTGCTCGCTAACAGCATTTTCCCCAACAGCCTAAACGGGGAAATCTTCGTTTGTCTTTGAACTGCAAGGCCATCACACGGCCTGAAATGGGGGTTATTCCTCGGTATGAAATGTCCTCAATCTCCATTCCTCACGAACCACACAGCACGTGTTGGTCTTCTCCGTTCGAGCACATGTGAAAGGTGCGATGCTGTGTCGTGGTGCATAGCTAGAGCTAACAAGGACACATGTTTTCCAATAACACTGCAATGAAAATAAATATTCAGTGACGTTTCGGGGAAATGGATCTGCGTGCAATCTGTTCCCATACATATTAAATCTAGGGTTCAATTTCACGCTGGTCTTTCCACCTAAACATCCTTCGGCTGAAAAGTCGTTTACCAGACTCCACTTTACCAGCAAACCTGGAAAATATTCAGCGAGACAGTCTCGATCGTCATTACACGTTGTCAAACACGTGCAACTTGACATGGGATGGGGGAGGTGCCGATTCTAATTAGTATGAATGTACGTTTACAACTCGCAAAGCATGTAACAATCGTCAGGCGCGTGCAGTGTAGTGACTTGTGAATTACGATTTGTAAACATGGAATAGCGTCGAGCCGGGAAAGAGGAATACTTGGATTCAAGAAGTGGGCATGGGACAAGGCCACGTCTTGGTTGAGACTTAACGGAATGGCAGACCGAAGAGGAGAGTGCGACCAGAACACCGAATGCGATGAATCCTGTGCAGGTGCTGGGTGGTTACATCGTCTGATCACGAGGGGTGGCTGCAGCTTGGATTAGACCTTCACTCAACAGTGGACGGGATTGTGGTTGATGATGGATAGGCGGGACTGTAGTGGGTCGCGAAGGGTCTGGAGTTTGACAAGTCACGTGGAAGCTGCCGTGACTCATGGACTGTGCTCAGGCACGCGGCGCCACCGCGTGGACAGAGTGGAAGACGGCGCATCCTGTGCGGTAAATGTCGGGTATCCGTTCTTTACAGTTAAAGGGGATGGCGACATTCGTATTTAGAATGGAGACAAGGGCGACTGTTGCTACACTTGTTCAAATCATCGGGAATGCGCCCGATCCAACCACCACCAAGCACAGTTGGCTATGTATGGTGCAAAAAAATTCAAGAGACAAATATACACTTCATGATCATCACTCGTATCAACATCAAAAAATATGCCTCATCTGTTCTCGCCTCGCCACCATCATCATTATCACCACACACAAGGACGTAACTTTCACAATACCAACATTCAAGTTTATGAATACACAAACTTACATTATATACAAAAATGCGGGCTTTGTCGTCAGCAGAGGGCAGTGCAACAACATCCATTGCTGTATTGGACCTCTATGCGCGCACACACACCTTTGGATCCTTGCCTTCACCAACCCACACTGACAAAGCGCGATCCCATGCCCTCATCCAGCAGTGGATAAGCAAAGGCTCCTGTAAATGTACATGCATACAGGAGTAGACACTCGGGTAGGACACCGAGAGGAATGACGAGATGCAGATTTTGAGCAAAAAAATCGGGTCAAAACTGTCCTTGAAAAGGACGTCTCAAATGCGATTCACAACTATAGACAAAGCCGGACGGACGGTGTTTTTGAAGGTTGTGATCGAGTGAAGATTCCAAATGGTCTTTGATGTTTTATATAAAAAACTAGAGATTAAATTTAGCACGAGAGTATCTTGTTTTTTATGTTCTTGATTGAAATTGAACACAATCTAAAAACAAAAATAGGTGTTTTCGTTTTTTTTAAAGGACCGCACAAGTTCTCAGGGTGCAGAGTTAAAAATGGCTTCAGATCTTATCTTTTAAAAAAGTCAATGTGTGATTTTGGGTCACACCAAAATTTGGGGGGGGGGTGGTAAATGTTAATTAACCTTGCCCTGTTGTGAATTGTATGTGGAGGTTTGGAAGGACGCCCGAATTCAAACAATAAAGATGGTCACGTATTTTTTTTCCAGCGACGTGTTGGACAAGCGCGACGCTTAAGCCAAGAGAAATGAGGACGCCCAACCACCACGTTATTCACACAATATGTATATTGTTCTGGGAGGCAGCAAATAAGATTGACGATCAAAGGGACAGCAATAATCTCACAGGAGGCACGAACACAGCGGCAGCTCACACGATGTAGCCACCTCGGCAATCGCGAAACCTCCATCGGCGTGCCAGCACGACACAAAGGCCTGACCACCTTGGGGGCGAGCGTGTGGGGGTTCGGGACAAGCGGCGGTGGCGCCGGCGGTGCTCAGAGCACCACGTAGCGCGTGAGCCCGCCCCCGCGCACCTCGCGCAGGCGCTGGCAGTGGCGCAGCACGCCCAGCAGGTTGAAGAGGCGCTTGTCCACGCGCAGCTTCGAGTTCTCGCGCAGGTCGTCATCTACGAAGAAGCTGTGGCCTGGTGGGGGGGGGGGGGCACCGTCGCATCGTTGTCACTACCGTGAACTTTCCGACAATTCGTCAAGCAAAAAATTTACTATTGTTATTTTACCAGGTAAGGCCTACTGAGCTAGAAAGCTATTCGTCAGAAGCAACCTGGCTATCACGAATGATAGCTCAATCAAGTGGCTTATCTTGTGGAAATTTATAGCAGCCAAATATTCTAAATACATTTTTCTAAATTTGGGAGGGAAAAACCGGAGGACCCGGAGAAAAATCCACACAACCACGGGGAGAGAGAGAGAGACAAGCAAACTCCAAAAATTCTGGCGTCAGGGTAGGGATTGAATGAACGACCTCCTGGATAAGTGTGGAGCAAGCGTTTCTGACAAAGCGAACACGTGGCTTTTTATGATTGGGCCGCGGCGTCACCAAACAGCGGCGCTTTTGCCACTCGTTGCATACGCTCGCAGTTCGTGCCCCGCGGTCGCCCAGGTTAATACTCGCGGGGGCATTAACCATGAAGGTGCGGTGCCTGCCCCAAAGTGGACATTGCAGATGAAGCGACCTTCGAAAAATGTAGTCGGGTAGCGTGTGCTGGTGCCCCAATCCGGTTGAAAATGTACTCCCTGAGCCTTTCTGGTTATGCGTGGCGCCAGTAGGCCGGCGGTGAAGAGCAAAAGTGGGGGGGGGGGGGGGGGGGGGGGGGGGGGGGGGTGGAGTGTAAGGGTACGCTGGCCAAGCCACCTTTGGTGTGCGGGGTCTCCTGCTCGCGGTAGACACGATGCCGCTTGACGGCAGCCTCCCCGAGCGAGCGCTTCGGCTGCCGCAGCAGCGTGTACTTGGAGGCGAGCGCGCAATTTATCTCGTGCACGGTGCCGTTCACCTGCTCGTACGCCATGCGGCCTTTCAGGTACCTGCGGCACACACGATGACGTCATTGTGCATGCATTGTTGTCCCTGCGTGTTGCTTATTCTACGCCCCGGTGCATACAATGCAATTCGTCAGCTCGAGTTAACTTGCCGCGATTCTAAACACGCCGTGTTCTTGGCCGTGGCTCGCCTCTGGTTTGATCTCCAACGCTCGCGCTCAGCTCTCGTGCTCGAGCCGCATGGCTGCTTTCAAAAGACGCAGGAGAGGCTCAGCCATGGCTTGGGCTCACTCCGCTCATGGAAATCCCAATCGTGGCTGAGATCATGCACGGAGCAGTCGAGATAAACGCATAATTTGAACCGGCTCAGTTGAACCAGAGCAAAGGCCGAGACCGAGCCATCACTAACAATACAGGGCCACAGTTCACGATTGCTACTACCCACGTGCAGTGCTCGGTTCAATCCTGCTTCTGAATAACGCTGGTGCTTCGGGACTCATTACATTCTCGTGTGATGCAAGAGATCGAGGAATAAATGATGAGCAACAACAGCTGTCGTTTGCCACTGCACAGACATAGCAGACGCACAGATAGACAACAAATACACAGGTGGCTGTTACTCCAGTCATACCACACGCACTGTAGTAAACCACGAGAGTATGCGGAAGAGGAATAGAAAACTTCACAAACTCTTTCCTGAAGCCTTCTTGTGGCTAACAGACCTCAGACATTGGCATTTTGCTCCTAGTCTTATTACTATATGCGAGGATAAAAACCACACACACGAATGTCTACAAACGACAACTACAGCCGCTGTGCGACACCAAGTGATGGTGACATCAGCACAACGCTTGTGCCAGGCTGGGTGCGCTTTGAGGTCACGTGAAGTGTTGAAGGCTTGCTTGTAGCGCACAGGTAAGACCCAGGTGTTGGCGGTTATCTGACCAAGACGACCGTGCGATCTTCATTCACATCGACAAAAGTTATTTGTTTTGAATGGCGCTCTTCTTGTACGCAGTCGTGTCAATACTTTTTTTGCGACCAGCTACTTCTCGATAATGTCACAGACAACAGTTGCACTCTCACGCAGAGGGGCCCGCAAGGATTCGCAGTCTAGGGCTGTCTGCGACGTTCATGGGGACCCCGAAGGATCCAGAGGAACCTGGGCAGGGGTGAGGGGGAGGTGGGGAAACTCACGCTGGCACTGCCTCGAACTCGCTCACGGTGAGGATCTTGATTGCGGGGATTGGGGGGGGCGCCGGTCGCTCCTTCTTGGGAGGCTGTGCGGGTTGCAATGGGGCCACAGCGGTCGCCTGGACCCCCCCTTGGGCCCCAGCGAAATGGGGATCACCACTGGCCTGCATGCTGATAGTGCCATGAGTCACGGTGAGGTAAAACGTGCGTTAGTGGTTTTCGAAAATCAAAGTGTCACTGAATGGATGATGCAAGCCACTCACTGTTTGGTGTGTCCCTAAATAAAAATGTCATCATCATCATCATCATCCGCCTTGATGATCTATTCACTGCTGGATGAAGGCCTCCCAAAGGCCATCGTTATCTCCTCAGTCTTGCGAAGCAACCTTCCATCGAACTGCTGTCTATAACTTGCTTACGTTCTCCGATCCATGATAAATGTAAACAATGTAAGTGATGCTTGCGGTGACAGAAGAGCACTGACCAGCGTGGTTGAAGTATGGTCAACCAATCACCACGACCGACACGACATCGGGAGGCCCTCAACTAGCAATGGATTGACAAAGGGCTATCTGTATGTTGAACTTCTTTCACACTGTACGTAGCCAACCGTGCGCAATCAGAGGTGCGGATGAAGGACAACAAACTCAAAACATAAAGCAGTTATAAAGACATTCGTTTTAATCTAGATTTAAAAGTGCATAGCTCCAGTGGCTTCCTAATATTGCAAGAGCGTTCCAGACGGTCGCAGAAGCACATTTGAAAGTGCGTCATGCAGTGCCCGTCTTTGTTCGATAGTTAGCCAAAAGCTGTTGCGATGATGATCGGAGTTTGCGTGATGGTTTATGCTCCTTAACGAGATCAGCAAGGCACATACAAACTTGCATACACAAGTGTAGGCAAAGGGTCATGCGTCTCCCACGTGTACAGAGCTAACCCTCACGCAGGTGTCTCCCTCACCTGGCCGCTAGCGGAGGCTGCTTCCCGGGCAGGTGCCTTGGCAGGTTCTCAAGCATGTGCTGCAGCGATTCGTTATTTCTGGTGATTTGTGCCATCACCGCCTTGCGACCACACGCACATGCACACAAAGACCCCCCCCCCCCTATAGTCTTAGCAAACCGTTGCGGAAAGTGCTGTTAGCAAGCAGCTTTGAAGGCCAACATCGCGCAATGCTGATCTTTACGCACCGCAGCAGGTACTCATTTAAAGCCGAGTCTATTTACTATACTACTATTTTTATTTCACCCAATGAGCTATATCGCTCTTTTTCAGAAGCAACCTGGCCACAAATAATAGCTCAACAAAGTGGCTTATCATGTGGAAATATATACAAGTCAACCATGGGGAGAACATGCAAATTCCAAATATACAGGCGTCAGGGTTGGGATCGAACCCAAAACCTACCGTATACCAGGCGAGGTAGTTAACATATCATCACCACGGCAAGACGTTAAAGCCAAGTCGACCAAGAAGAGGTTGTGAGGACCGATGTTGGCCCTAAACAAGAATCGAACTGGGGTCACTGGGTGCGTAGCGAAGTGTGCCAACCACTGCACTACCGCTCCCCTACACATGAAGGTCTCCTGTACAGCCACACAACAAGTGCTGTTCGTGAATACTAGAGGGCCAGCGACAAGAGCTCTCACCTGCACTTCGAGCGCAATCTGGTTTCGCTGCCTCTGCAGCTGCTGCATATCCTGCACAAATGCCTCAGCTTCCTGCAGCTCGGACTCCACGCTGTGCAGCATGCGCACCAGCCACTTGTCATCCGCTGTGCGCACACAACGAGGTAAGCTGTGATGAGGTGTTGAAAAGCTGGGAGGTGTAAGGAGCTGTGTAAGGTGTAAAGAGCTGTGAGGAGGTGAACGGAGCTGCTAAGAGCTCTTTGAGGTGGAGGCGTGAGGTGGAGGCGTGAGGAGCTGAAGTGTAAGGAGCTGTGGGAAGGTGTGTAAGGACCTGTAAGGTGTAAAGTGTGAGGAGTAGCAATGAGCTGTGAGGAGGAAAAATGAGCAATGACGTGTAAGCAGTTGTGTGGCGTGCTGCAAGGTTTGAGGAAGAGCTGTAAAGAGACGTTAGGTGCAGAGGCGTGACGTGTGAGCTGAGAGGTGAGGTGGGAGCTGAGGTGTGAGCTGAGAGGTGAGGTGGGAGCTGTAAGGAGGTGGTGTGTTGCGAGGAGGTGAGCTATAAGGAGGTGGTGTGTTGCGAGGAGGTGAGCTGTAAGGAGGTGGTGTGTTGCGAGGAGGTGAGCTGTAAGGAGGTGGTGTGTTGCCAGGAGGTGAGCTGAGCTGTAAGGAGGTGGTGTGTTGCGAGGAGGTGAGCTGTAAGGAGGTGGTGTGTTGCGAGGTGAGCTGTGAGGTGAGCTGTGAGGAGGTGGTGTGTTGCGAGGTGAGCTGTGAGGTGAGCTGTAAGGAGGTGGTGTGTTGCCAGGAGGTGAGCTGTGAGGAGGTGAGCTGTAAGGTGGTGTGTTGCGAGGTGAGCTGTAACGAGGTGGTGTGTTGCGAGGAGGTGAACTGTAACGAGGTGGTGTGTTGCGAGGAGGTGTGTTGCGAGGAGGTGAACTGTAACGAGGTGGTGTGTTGCGAGGTGTGTTGCGAGGAGGTGAGCTGTAACGAGGTGGTGTGTTGCGAGGTGAGCTGTAACGAGGTGGTGTGTTGCGTATTTCTTTACCGTCCACATCTCGGATCTGCAGGGCCAGCCTCAGTGCGTCCACCTTGGTCGCCACCAGCAGCTCCAGATCCTCCACGCTCTCCACCAACACCGCTGCCGACACTGCCTCTCCTGCAAGGCAACACTGGAAGTGAGACAGCAATTCGAGAAAGCTGCACCGAACAACTCAAACAGCAGCAACCAAACATAATGGCCGGCATAGAGATCACCATCACCACAGCCTCCACCTGCGGGCAAAAACAACAACAAACAGCAGCACAGCACCCAACAGCATAGACCATTTCCAACATCACAGCTTCACCTGCAAGAAAAAATCATCACACGTCAGCACAGAGCAGGCTTCCTCATTGCAAGGCCCGCAGGCCACTGGCGGTCCCTGGTGCGGCCCTCGACAAACCCCAATGGTATTCTTAGTTCTTTCGGTAAAGTTACGTTGAAGGGAAACAACAAAATAGTAAAATATATAAAACAATAAAAAATTCTCACGACGTTTCGACCATAACACAAACGGTCGTCTTCAGGTGTGTTGCACTTATGGTCGAAACGTCGTGAGAATTTTTTAATTGTTTTATATATATTTTATTATTTTGTTGTTTCCCTTCAACGTGACTTTACCGAAAGAACTAAGAATATGAATTACTGCAGTCACGAAAGCTTTAAATCAAAATTTACACCCCAATAGTGTTAAGTGTGCGACGGCCCTCACACCGAGTGTGTCTCAACGGAGAGTGAGCCCACTCTGAAAATCAGTGAAGAACACTGATACAGAGCCCACCACGGGGAGCACAGCGTCGCCTGCAGGCACACTCATCGTCACACAGCGGTCGAGGTCACACAACAGCAACAGCAGCAGTGTCAACACGGCTCCGCGAAACAAATGAGCCGAATTTAATTGAACAATTTGGGCGGAATTGAACCCGATGTGCGAACTCTGAGTTGACTGCTGATCCACATTAAGGCCATCATCTTCATCGTCAGTCATGTTTAGTCCACTGCTGGATGAAGGCCTCCTCCCCAAGCTATTACATCTCTCGTAGGTGTTCAACACGTGGATAAGAGAACATAAGCAAGTTAGAGACATCATCAAAATGAAACGTGGGGCGGTACGATGCGAGGAGTTGTGAGCTGTGAGGAGGGATGCTGTGTGCTTGAAATATTGTTTGGCCGGATAGAGGGGGCTCAACGGGCACGGCCTGGACAAGAGATGATGGAGTGATGTGGTTACAAGAGGATGTGGGAGCCGAGTGGACTTGCCGAAGACCGGTACCAGCGGTGTCAAGATCGGCCTCTACGGAAGAGGATCGTGAAGGACGCCGCTACTGCGCAGTTGGAGGCAGTCGCCCTCCAAACAACAACGGAGGACAGAGGAGCGACGCTCACAACGAGCGGAGCGCCTGGCGGTATAAAACACAGCAAAGTTGGCACAGAAGGGGGGCACAGAAGGGGGGCACAGAAGGGGGGGCACAGAAGGGGGGGCACAGAAGGGGGGCACAGGTGGTGCATCTGCCAATCGGCCCACGGCAAGTGCTGGGTCCGTCCCGTCTCCTCCCGCCAGCAGCGAGCCTTCGACACTTCACGTGGCCTCAAAGTGCACCTAGCCTGGCACAGACGCCGTATGAACCTCTTCGCCACTTGGCGGCTGTTGTTGTTGCTAAAGCCATCATCATCGGCCAGGGTCAATCCACTGCTAGATGAAGGCCTTGCCCCAAGGGCGCCGCAATCAAATTACATCTCCGAGCATTTAAAATATCCTTAGACGAGGCGAACGAAGAGAGAACTCACTCACCCGACATCGCTTCCACTTTATTTCCCCAAGAGTTTAGGTCTTTAATATGTAATATAGATTAAGGACTTATCGGTTAAACTCCGGGCCCAGCTCTCCGCGCCGCTCTCTGATTTGAACAACTTCAACGCGAATCGATTCAGTTTCGAATAAAGATAATCGATTCCATATTCACCTATGCACCCAACAGCGCGTGTACACTTAATATATTAATATAATTAGAACATGTATGAGGTACGTTCAGTAGTTGTGTTTTTATGCGCATAAACACGACGTGCAGACTATAAATTATATGAAACGAATAATCATATGATGGAATCGAATCGCTAATCTATTGTTTGTAACTAGGAATCGGGAATCGGTCGTGACGATTTTCAAACGGATTCCCGCCAATTGGGGCTGGGCGGTGACGTCACTACCGACGAAGGGCGTTCAGTTAAAATAAAGTTAAAATAAAGTTAATTGAGTTAATGAAAATGGAGCAGAACAAGTTACACTCGCGACACAGTGATCATTCACGCGGCGTTAAAATTGTCAGCACGATCAGCCACAATCAATCCACTGTTTGTTGAAGGGTTCACCTCATCACACAAGCCTTTGATATCTTTCACTGTCCCACGATGTAACGATTTATTCACCGACGATGTAGATAATTCCCATTCTAAGTTATGTTTAAAGAGAATACTGTGAAGTAATTCAATTTGCGAGATCAGTAACATAAAGCACTTGTGCGGCGTTGATTCTCGCCAAGCAGAGTGGCGCAGCGGAAGCGTGCTGGGCCCATAACCCAGAGGTCGATGGATCGAAACCATCCTCTGCTAGCAGTAATTTTTTAAAATTTTACTTTAACCAACAATCACTTTTTTATTGTCATCAAGATTAAATTTTTCATCGTGAGAAAAAAACTACCTTGAAACGTCTTTTATTATTTAGTAAATATGTACATAGACGTGTATTTCAATGATGTTTTCACCAAAGTATATATGTACTGTACTCTATATACGTATTTGATATTATGATTAGGGTTGGTTATCGAGCACTCGTTTCGGCAGCCGGTGACCACCATGGAACTTGAGTCGCCGGGGTTCGTAGCGGAGTGCGCTCACCACTGCACCACCGCTCCCCACAAACCTGCTCACGCACACACCTACAGCATTGTAAAATACGACATTGTGGAGAAACGGGGGTAGTGCCTCGCATAACGTGGACAATGCAGGACAATTAAATGGCTTTCTCCGCTCCACTCCCCGCAGCTCAATTAAACCATAATTACAATCAATTACGAGCCGAGCTCATTAGTGGAGTGGGTGACGGTGGAGCGCGAATCATCCTTTGTTCTCGTCGGCACGTGCCAAGGGTCACGTGTCCCTCGTGAATTCTGCACGCGGAGGGTGCACAATTAATGACGTCACAGCACGGGTCGATGGACCTCGAGTGATGAGGGTGAGCTTGCCTGGTGTGTGTAGGTGTGTGTGTGTAGGTGTGTGTGTGCAGGTTGTTGTTGTGTAGGTGTGTGTAGGTGTGTGTCTAGGTGTGTGTGTGTATCTAGGTGTGTGTATAGGTGTGTGTGTATAGGTGTGTGTGTGTGTGTAGGTGTGTGTGTAGGTTTGTGTCTAGGTGTGTGTGTGTATTTAGGTGTTTGTGTCTAGGTGTGTGTGTAGGTGTGTGTGTAGGTGTGTGTCTAGGTGTGTGTCTGCAGGTGTTTGTGTCTAGGTGTGTGTGTGTAGGTGTGTGTGTGTAGGTGTGTCTCCGCCTCAAATGGGTACCTGGTGTGATGTGTAAACATCGCTACTGGGGAGACAAAGGCGGTCGGGCGTGGTCCTGGACACCCACCCCCTCGTGTGCCGTGCCGGCCCTCATAGGCACTCGCTAACAGCACTTGCCCCAACAGTCTGTTGAGGCTATTCGGGGTATCTTTGTCTTTGTATGTGACATGAGATTTCGTAACGAGGAATTGGGGGGAGGGGGATGGAGGGGGAGGGAGAATCGGGACAAGGAGAAAGGGAGGGATGGGAATGCCGTGGGATGGGGGGGGGGGTCACGTGATCACGTGATGAAATCACGTGACACACCCGCTATAAACGCGACTCGCGCGTGCCGCCTGCTTCAGTTGCAGTCGCACTGCGAGAGATCCCCGGCGCTCGCCGTGGTCACGGGGGTGGTCACTCCTCCTGGGGGGCACTGAGCACGTGGGCACAAGGGGGGAGGGGGGGCACGGGGTGGGTGGGCACGGGAGCACAGCACGTGGGGCACGGAGGAGGAGACGCGACCCCAGACACGAGAGTGTTGAGCAAAGTTGCACTGGAACCTTGCACCTGTGGGCTTGCCTGCTGCTACTGCCGCTGTTGCTCCACCTGGTGCTGCTTGCCTGCTGCTGCCGCTGGCTCGGCGGAGAGATATGAACTTGAAAAGCGATGGGGCATTTGATGGCCTCTCCAAAGACGAAGGACAGGCGAGTGCGTGTGTGTGGACGCTGGTACAGGTGCGTGTGTGTGGGTACAGGTGTGTGTGTGTGTGTGGGGGTACAGGTGCAGGTGGGTCTAGGTACAGGTGTGGGTGCAGGTGCGTGCGTGTGTGGGTGCGTGTGGGTGCAGGTGCGTGCGCGTGTGTGGGTGCAGGTGCGCGTGTGTGTGGGTGCAGGTGCGCGTGTGGGTACAGGTGCAGGTACGCGTGTGGGTACAGGTGCAGGTACGCGTGTGGGTACAGGTGCAGGTACGCGTGTGGGTACAGGTGCAGGTACGCGTGTGGGTACAGGTGCAGGTACGCGTGTGGGTACAGGTGCAGGTACGCGTGTGGGTACAGGTGCAGGTACGCGTGTGGGTACAGGTGCAGGTACGCGTGTGGGTACAGGTGCAGGTACGCGTGTGGGTACAGGTGCAGGTACGCGTGTGGGTACAGGTGCAGGTACGCGTGTGGGTACAGGTGCAGGTACGCGTGTGGGTACAGGTGCAGGTACGCGTGTGGGTACAGGTGCAGGTACGCGTGTGGGTACAGGTGCAGGTACGCGTGTGGGTACAGGTGCAGGTACGCGCGTGGGTACAGGTGCAGGTACGCGCGTGGGTACAGGTGCAGGTACGCGCGTGGGTACAGGTGCAGGTACGCGCGTGGGTACATGTGCAGGTACGCGCGTGGGTACAGGTGCAGGTGCGCGCGTGGGTACAGGTGCAGGTGCGCGCGTGGGTACAGGTGCAGGTGCGCGCGTGGGTACAGGTGCAGGTGCGCGCGTGGGTACAGGTGCAGGTACGCGCGTGGGTACAGGTGCAGGTACGCGCGTGGGTACAGGTGCAGGTACGCGCGTGGGTACAGGTGCAGGTGCGCGCGTGGGTACAGGTGCAGGTGCGCGCGTGGGTACAGGTGCAGGTGCGCGCGTGCAGGTGCGCGCGTGCAGGTGCGCGCGTGCAGGTGCGCGCGTGCAGGTGCGCGCGTGCAGGTGCGCGCGTGCAGGTGCGCGCGTGCAGGTGCGCGCGTGCAGGTGCGCGCGTGCAGGTGCGCGCGTGCAGGTGCGCGCGTGCAGGTGCGCGCGTGCAGGTGCGCGCGTGCAGGTGCGCGCGTGCAGGTGCGCGCGTGCAGGTGCGCGCGTGCAGGTGCGCGCGTGCAGGTGCGCGCGTGCAGGTGCGCGCGTGCAGGTGCGCGCGTGCAGGTGCGCGCGTGCAGGTGCGCGCGTGCAGGTGCGCGCGTGCAGGTGCGCGCGTGCAGGTGCGCGCGTGCAGGTGCGCGCGTGCAGGTGCGCGCGTGCAGGTGCGCGCGTGCAGGTGCGCGCGTGCAGGTGCGCGCGTGCAGGTGCGCGCGTGCAGGTGCGCGCGTGCAGGTGCGCGCGTGCAGGTGCGCGCGTGCAGGTGCGCGCGTGCAGGTGCGCGCGTGCAGGTGCGCGCGTGCAGGTGCGCGCGTGCAGGTGCGCGCGTGCAGGTGCGCGCGTGCAGGTGCGCGCGTGCAGGTGCGCGATTCCTCCCGGTATAAATAAATATTCTGAATCTAAAGGTGTGCGTGTATATATATATATACACGGGGCATCTTTGTCTTGATGTGTTTCCCTATAACGCCGCTCGCGTCTGACCCCACGCAGGTTCGAACCCTGTTTGTGAGCGGTCTCCCCATGGACACCCACCCTCGCGAGCTGTACCTGCTCTTCAGGCCCTTCAAGGTGAGTGGTGAGGTGCAGGTCGACTCGACCTTGATATTTGGGGAGACAAAGGCGGCCGGTGCGTGGTTACCGATAGGCCCCCCACCCCTGTGTTCCGTGCCGCCGGCTTTCATTGATGCTACTCGCGAGAACAGCACTTGCCCCAATAGTATGTTAGAGGTTTTACGGGGGATCTTTAGTGAGTGAACAAGGGGGTCGTTTGCCGGCGCTCCACATTACCCTGTCTGACTTCTCCACCCCCCCCCCCCCGTTGCCAGGGATACGAGGGGTCCCTCATGAAGCCCACAACCAAGCAGGTGGGGTTGCCTGCGCTGGACCGGAGGTGTGCCGGGGTAGGGGGGGGGATGTGCGGTGGGGTCGGAAGGGGGTAGGGGTGTGTGGGGGGGGGGTAGGGGTGTGTGTGGGGGGGGGTGGTAGGGGGTGTGTGTGGGGGGGGGGGGGGGGGTCGCTGTCAAGTTGGCCCCCCGCGGTTTCTTCCGCGGTCACGGCTGTCATCGGTGTTGAGACGAACTCTGAACCGGGTGCTGGGTTGGGTCCGTCCCCTAGGTGGACTCGGCCCTAAATGAAATGAGTACTGTGATCCCTTTATTGGTGTTCTCTGTAAGCATCGACACTGGGGAGACGAAGGCGGCTGGCCACCCACCACCCCGACTCCCGCGATGACGACACTAACACGAGCTCGATGAGGGTGCTCGACCCCGACAGTCTGTGGGGGACGTGGGGTTTGTGCTGCGCGTGGCGAGGTGGTTGTGTGCTGTTGATTGTGGCCACCCGGGTTCGATTCCCGCTCACGGCCTGCAGCACCCAGTGACGATTCTCTGAACTGATCCTGGGCCTCCCCTCGGTCGGCTCGGCCTCAAATGCGTGCCTGGTGCGGTGCGTAAAAACCTCGCCACTGGGGAGACAAAGGCGGTCCGGCGTGGTGCTGGCCACACACTCCCTTCATGTGCCGGTCTTAATAGGTGCTCGCTATCAGCACTTGCCCTAACAGTTTAAGGCTATATTTTGCTGTATGATGATGATGGTGGTGGTGTGCGCACTCCGCAGCCCGTGGGCTTTGTGATATTTGACAGCCGAGAGAACGCGGAGGCCGCCATGGTCGAGTTACACGTGAGTGGCTCCCACCTCGTCCGATCAGCACTGTTGGCTACGTACGGTGGGAAAAAAGTTCACCGTACAGTACATCACCATCCCTCCCCGTCCCCCAGCGAAGTCATCCCGCCATCGCTTCCTTTATCCATCCCGCAATCACTCGTCCGTTCGTCATCCACCAAATCCCTGAACCTGCCCACCCACCCCCCCCCCCATATCATAATCCCTCGCCGCCATCATAATCGTCATCGATCCACTGCGGAGTCGTCTCCCAAGCAATCTGCCGAAACTCATCTTGGCAAATAAGAGTTGTCAATTTAAAAAAAAATCCACCTCGAGAATCTTTTGAAGTAAGTCGCGTTTTCACGGGGGTCCAGTAATGTCTCTTGATGGCACGTGCTCACAGACACGAGTCATCTACTACTGCTGCCTTCTGCACGTGTAGTAGTGCAAGTCTACGCTTCTAATATTACCTTAAATAAAGAGTGCAACCACTGTAGACCCCACTTTCTCCTAATTAGGCCTCTTCCCGTCGAGAAAAGGCCGCAGAGCCCCCCTTTCCTTTTTAGGCCCTGCCCCCCCCCCCCTCCCCGTCTCCGGAGGCTTGGGCTGGTTTTGGTGGGGGTTGTGGGAGGCGAGTGGGGGGAGTTTGTGCGCATCGGTGGTAGTGGTGGGCGGGGTCAGAATCAATATTTATGCTGCAGGAGGAATCTGATGAGCTATAAAGCTCTTTGCCACATGTCCAGTAGGGGTGGTTCAGAACGTTACAACAACTCGCCATACACAAACACGATAGGAGTGCAAAGTATAGAAAAGATCATGTCCTCATTTTACTATCCTGAGTAATATGTCCATGACCTCAACCTTGACCCCAACTACCCCCCCCCCCCAGGGTATGCGCTTTGACCCAGAGAGCCAGCACACGCTGCGGCTGGAGTTCGCCAAGGCGAACACGCGCACCTCGAGGCAGCGGCTGGGCTCCCCAGGGCCACTCGCGATTCGTCTGCCGATCCAGCTGGGACCCCAATTCCTCACGCGGGACCCACGTAACCCACCCCCCCCATCCCCACCATCTCTCACCCCCCACCACCTCACCAGAGCGCACACCCTCTACCCAGGGCACCACGGTGACTGGATATTAACTACCTCGCCTGGTATACAGAAGGTCCTGGGTTCTGTCCCTAACCCTCACGCCTGCTGTATCATTGGAGTTTGCATGTTCACTCTCCCCATGGTCACGTGAAGTTTCCTCTGGGCTCTTCGGTTTTCCCCTCTACATCTTAGAAACGTGCGTTTTATAGCGTATTGGTCTCCTATAAATGTCCCCGTGATAAGCCACTATTTTTTTTGCTACCTATACATATATATAGCTCAATGGGCTTTACCTGGTAAAATAAAACAAGTTGCTTTTTTAGTATTTTTAGTGCACCACCACGGTTTTGTATCTCACTGAAATGTTTGCCGGGTCACTGGGGAATGGCAGGTAGTAGGTGGCACGCGTGGTGTGTGCGCTGCCTTCAACGTGGGGAATATTATCAAAGCACACTTCTGTTTGCACGTTTTTCCACAAGCATGTGCAGATGATGCACACTGACGATGCCTTGAAAATCGGTGTTTGAACATCTTAGCACCTCATGTGTTATTGCTGGTTTGGCGCACTGCGCTACAAACCCGGTACCAGAGTTGGATTCCTGCTGACTAATGACAGGTGACGATTATCTGAACTGGTCCTGGGCCCTCTCTCCGAGGTGAACTCTGCCTTTTTTTAAATGGGTACCTGGTGTGTAACCATCGGCACCGGGAAGACACAACGGTGGCCTGGCGTGGCACTCGTCGCATCTCCCCCCCCCCCCCCCCCCCCCTTGTACGCCGTGCCGACGTTTTGGCGCTCTAGAAGCACTTGTCCCAATAGTTCGTGTTTAAGGCTACACGGGGGCATCGCCATTAAAACGAGTAGCCACAGCAATCGCGAGAGCTACTGTAGGCGTTGTATTCCGGGTGCACTTTGATCTCCTGGGTTGGCGGTCCTCTACCTGCCCCCGTTCTGTTTTTATTAGACCCGCCCCTCGTGGCCTCAAACCGCTTTCCCCTATGGCCCTGCGTGAAGTCTCTGCTGATCCCCCCCCCCCAACTCCCATCTTATTCCCCCCCCCCCCCCCCCCAGAGGAGCTGCTGGGCCCCACGCTGATCCCCGCCTCCAGGGATGCATGGAGAGCGTTCCCCCCTTTCCAGCTGTTCGCCACGGACCTGAGCCTGAGCTCGGCCTTTCACGGGGCCCCCTTGCCGGGGCTCCCGTACCCGGGTCTCGCTCCTCCTTGGCTGCAGAGCGCCCAGGTGAGCCATCCCCCCCCTCCCTCACTCCTCACTCCGTATTCCTGTAATACTGCTGCGGGAGTCCACGTTTGTCGACTCGACTTCCTTGGGCAACTTTTTTGGCCGCCCCCACATCGTCTCTGCCGAAAGTCAGAAACCTCGCCCCCGACCCACCCCACCACCACCAGCATGTACGAGTCACGCTTGGCATAACGCGGCTCACGACGATACTTCTCGTGGCATCGCCACCTCGTACAGTGGCACACGTGGGAGCCCAACCATCTTTATTGCCCCCCCCCCTGCCCCCAAACACTTTCGTGTCGTTTAAAATCCGTTGGAGTAATGGCAACGCCAATTTAATCGACACGAATCGCAGAGCCCAGCGCTGCATTTGTGATGCCACCACCACCCCCAGCAGTCGTAAAGGACGTTGACGCCACTAAATGTTGTCTAGGAGGCTCACCCGGTACACGTCGTCACCATTGATCTGAGCTCGTATGTATCAACTTATTTCACACTGCATGTAACCAACCGCGCTAACCGGAGATGTGGGGGAAGGGCGACTAACTGAACACATAGCGGTTATAAAGACATTAGTTTTCAATCTGGATTTAAAATGTCATGATTCCAGTGGCTTCCTAATTTTGCAAGGAAGAGCGTTCCAGATGGCCGCAGAAGTGCATCTGAGAGCGTGCGATACGGTAACGGTCTTTGTTCGATGGTTCGTCAAAAGCTGCTGCGAGGATGAGCGGAGTTCGCGTGGTGGTTTATGCCCCTTGACGAGATCGGCAAGGTACTGTCGTTAATTTGTTGCAAGCACTTTGTGTGTAATGAGTGCAACCTTATAACGTATTCGTTAATATATATTACAATGTATTCGTTCGGCAACCGGAAGCCAATGCAGCTCTGCCAGCATTGGACCGACGTGGTCGGATCTTGCGAGGTCACGTGCCAGAGGATGTTGTGCACGCCGGTTCGACGGTAGTGGAAGTGACCGAATGAATGGGAGAGGTGCGGGGGGCGATGGGGAGGGTAGCTCTCCCCCTCCCTCACACTGCCAGACCCGCCCACTTCTACAGCGCCCCGCCCACTGCCGCAGGTCGGCTTTAACGTGCAAGGATTGGGTACGAAACGGATTTTCCACAATTAAAGCATCATGGGAGGGGGGAGGGTGGAGAGAGAGACGGACTTTCTGAAACCCCCCCCCCCCCGGCACTGTCCCGGGCACAGCGGGGACGTCTGGCGGCGTCTCTCCAGGCGGAGACGTCATCTGGTCGTGGACCTGCACGGAGACGCGCGTCTGGGTGGTGCTTTTGTGATGCCGCGCGCTCCACTGCACGTGGACACGCGGTGCGGGTTGGCAGCGTGGGGGGGGAGAAGCACGTGCCACTGCCGTCTCTACACAGCCGTCGCGTTGCTTACCGCTGCCTGAACCCTGCCTCTAACCCTGTACCCCCTAACACGCCGAGTCTAACCCCCTCCCTCCTCTCTCCTCCAGCCTTGTAGTAACATTGTCTCTTGATCCAGGCGGCTTGGGGGTCACCTGTCCTCCCAGGTGCAGCTGCGGCCGCACCCGGAGGGAGCAACTCGAGCGTGGAACAACGACCAGAGGCCGCGAGACCCCGGTTATGGGGTTCCGAGAGTATGGAAAACCCTACTCTCCCTTCACCGTGACCCGGGGAGGGGGGAGCCGTTTAGGGCGGGCAGCTGCTGAGGGCTCGCGTGTTGGTTGGGGGGCACCGCCATCGTGCGCCTTGCGCTGTTGGGGGGTGGTGGTGTTCAGTGCCGGATGAAGCTCGTGCGGGGCCTGTAGCAGCATGATGTTATAAAGGGGCCCTAAATTAAAAAAAATAACACCCATTAAAACACACGTTTAACTTGCAAAGTAATTTTATTTTTTTATTTGCTGTACAGCGAGATGATACGACAAATCGCCAACCTTAAACACCAAGTCGTTCATTAAAGTTGGAGGCGATATAGTATTATAGTAATAGAGTGCAAAATCACTGAACCGAAATGGATAGCTTGAGAAAGTATTTGCCGCGGGGCCCTTTAAGTGCGGGGTCCGTAGCCTTTGTAGCTACTTGTGCTACTCGGATGATCCGGCACAAGTGGTGGTTTCTGCTACGTGGTTGTGCGCCGTGTCGGCCTTCAGAGGCGCTCGCTAACAGCGCTCGCTTAGCCAACTCAGAGGCTCTACGAGGGCGTCTGCACGAGTCTGCGGATTCGTGTGCGCGCGTTGTAGTACAACTTTTTTTTTATAAGTCAATTCCGCACGGATTATTTTGGTGTTCGCAAAAATTTAATCTTGGCGAACCCCCCCCCCCTCCAGACCCCCCTGCCCCTTTAAAGCGTGCGAGTGACTGTGAAGCCCCAATGTAGACAGGCGAAGTTCACCCCCAGTTAGTTACTGGTGCGCGTGTGTTCCTGTGTACGCGTGCGTCGACGTGACGAGCCGACGGCCTAAACAAGGAGCTCGCTGCGACAGCACTTGCCCCGACAGTCCTGTGCAGGCTACACGGGGCAGCTTTGTATGTTTTTGAGTGAATTAGAAATCAGAATATTTATTTATAATGAGTATGCCAGCCGCCTATAAACCCAAGGGTGCCTGCCTCGGTCTGATAACAATCTGCTGCTGCTGCGCTTGTGATTGAGAGAGAATAAAGTTTACTGAGCCTTGACAGTCTCACTGCTGTCTTAACTGGACCCCGTGTCTCCATCCCTCTCGTGTCTGTCTTGTCTCACTCCGTGTGTCTCCCACCACCCCACCTTCATCGGAAGGGGGTTGAACTTTCCAGCGATGGGGGGGGGGGCTATGGGGCCCTGAACTTTTTCAATATCCCCCCCCACTACGTTCCTCGGGTAGACCTCAAAACCGCCAGCTCCTTGGGTACATCGCTGCAGATTTGATCGGCCCGTGTTCCAAGTTGTGGCTCTGATTCAAGCGAGCCAGCTCGAAGCCATGCGCTCTGCTTGCAATTATGGCTTTATTTTTTGGTGATTTAGAAAACGTTTTTTGGTTTGGACATGTTTGTTTTGTTGTAGTACGGAGTTAGAATGGCCTTAATCGAAGTTTTGTTGTTGTTTGACTTGCATCCCACTGGGATTGTTTTTACACAAAGCGTTCGTGTACGGTGCCTTTTTCAGGAATATTTACCTGTTTTTCCATTGATTTTCTGTTTGCACAATAAGTCACTTTAAGATGTTTTTCTTGTTCGTGGTGTTTTGTTGCGGTTGCACCCGATTCAAGAGCCGAATGGCTCGCAGGGCTATACCAAAATAAATAAGCTGAAACTGTTTGAGCCGGCTCCAAGCCATGGACCCCCCCCCCCCCCCCCCCCCCCCCCCTAAGCCGTGCTCGAGATGCGACTCAAGCCGTCACGGAGAAGAGCGCCCGGAGGACCGAGGTGGCTCTGGTCCGAACGCCGAGCCAGCACCGCCGAGGCTCCTGGGTTCCAATCCGGGATTCACCCGCTGCATGTAATCAAATCGAATTCTCAAGTGTAGCGAGTTGGTCTCATCCTGTCGGCTGACTAAGACGCCCATAGTGTTATATCGAGACGGATATCCATAGCCTCCTACAGAGACCCACAATCTTGCATGGACCCCGAGACTCGGTGACCAATAGGCTCGTACAGACGCGCATAGTTGGACATTGAGCCCTAAAAGAGATCCATAGGCTAACAACCCCATTGATAAATTGACCTGGAGTCCAAGAGACTTGCAGACGTCCCTATACAGTATCCTGTGCCCCACATACACGTAGACTCGCATAATCTGAAGTCGTGGTTAAACCGGGTGTTCAATTGTAACCCAATCAATGACTCCACACACAACGCAATTGGAAGTAATTATTCACTTGATGTGACCCAATTCGAACCTTCGGAGGGTGAGTCGTCTCGTGTTTGACGAGCATCACGAGCGCGTTCCAGGGCGGGCGGCCAAGTGCCGCTGCACGCTTCGTTGTGTGGGCCGGAGGTCACGTGGCGGCGATCTCGGTAGCAGTTCAGTGAAGGCTCCTTCCACGGGCCGTTCTTTCGGCAAATAAAATCGACTAAGATGAGATCTTGCGAGGCATCTCGGCAGTCGAATGCAGCCGCCGTGGTATCTGGCAGAAGGAAGGTAGCGAGGGCGGGGTGTGGGTGGTGGTGACATCAACGCCCTGATCTGTGACATCCCCTCCACGTGCTGATGATTTCCACCGTAGCCATTACAAGGAGCTACCTCTGAATTTAGGGGGCACACGGGGTGAAGGGGGAGGAGGGGGGCAATGACCAATAACTCCCACTGAAGAGAGGGCCCCGAATAGTGGACCCCCCTCCCCCCGCGCAGTAACGCAGGGGACCTCATCCCATAGGGGGCGCTGATTTGAACAGGGTGGGGGTGGATGAGGGTGGGCGGGGGTTTTGGGGGAGGAGAGAGGGAGCGAGGGAGGGAGGGAGAAAAAATCGGGACATGCCCAGACACGCCACTCCACTACCGCTGCTAAATCGACACCACTCCACGTCGCAGACCTGCACGGGCGCCCTGCACTTTATTTCCCAGTGTAAAAAAACAAACAAACACAAATATCACCCTGCATCATCAGCGGCATCAGCATCCGCAGCACGTGCGTGCGTGCGGAATGAGCACTCGCGGCCACGTGGGGTGGACGCGAGACTCTTCGGCTCCACGTGTTTCCAGACCGCCGCCCGGGACCCCCGAAGTACGACTGAGAGAAGAGAGGAGAGGCTGGGCGTGAGAGGAGAAGCGCCTCAAGTCCCAGTGTGCAGCCATCGCCTGCGGCGTCTCTCAAAGTCTCGTCTCAGTCTGTGAAGTTTTCCGCTCCATTCATTCTCTCCGTGTCCTCTCCCTCATTCGCTCGCCCCGTCTCCTCCACCCCTCGCGTCGATCGAGCGACGTTCTCTCAACAATCGTCTCCATACTTCTCAACTCATTGTCCATCTCTCATCTTCATCTCAAGAGACGCATCGTCGTCAAAATCACCATCACCCTGCGTCTCGTATTCTCAATGCTGTCATCTCCATCCACCCGTCTCTCCTCTCATCTTCCCTCCGTCTCTCTGCTTTCCATCTCCCGTTACGATATCTCCAGAAGATGTGTTGCCACTGATTACTTGAACGAGCTCTCAAACGTTCTCATCGCCATCTCCCTGAGCTCCTCCGTACGTTTCGTCGTTTCTCCATCGCTTGCATCTCCTGCGGTGCTCACCGATTTATCTCGGGTCTGAACATCTCCCGCCTGTCCAATCTCCTCCTCGCCTCCGTTCAACTACCGCCTCGCTCCTCCTCGTCGACCCCTCGCTCTCCTCCAAACATCTCAACACCGCGTGTCTCTCACTGGGTCACCCCCTACCACACCTCCAGCTGTCGTCTGATTCCACTCCGTCAAATCTTTACACACCTCAATACCAATCCTCGTCCGCCATCTCTCTCCTGCCCATCTCGTCTCACCCGGGCGATCTCTCTCTCAACATCTCTCTGAACATCTCTCTCCTGCCCCACCCGTCAGGCGACATCTCCGACAAGTCGCTCCCTCTCCAAGAGGCAAGGACGTGGGGGGAAGCGTGCTCGTCGTTTAGTAACAGTCGTTGTTGTCATGGCTCTCCATCTCAGCCCAGCTCCATCGCCAGATCACCGACCTCATCATCACCACCATCACCATCATCATCCTCCTCCACCTCCTCCTCTGCTGCTCCTCCTCCTCGCCGCGAGCGCCGTTGCGCTCTCCTCGGGCCGGGCCGAGGCTCAGGAAGCGGGGGGCCACCCGAGCTGCCCCCTTGGAGAGGAGACCCCCGCCGAGGGGGTCCGCTACCCCGCGTGCCGCTGCGGGGTGGAGTTCGCGCGCCCCCTGCCCGAGGAGATTCTCCCCGCGGACCCCGCGAGTCGCCGCGAGCAGGGCTACCACCGCGACGAGGTCGGGGGCTGGTAAGGGGGACACACGCACCCAGCAAGGGGATAGGGGGGATACTCGGTGAGGAGATAGGGGATCCACACATAGGGGGCATAGAGGGACATTCACTGAGCAGATGGACCCCCAGAAAGAGGGTAGAGGTAGCACGCGACGAGGTCGGGGGCTGGTAAGGGGACGCGCCCCACAGAGGAGACCCCATCGAGTGTTGTTACTGCGGCGGCTTGAGGGGGGAGCTTCATCCAGCAGTGGATTGACGATGGCTGATGATGATGAGTGTTGTGGTTGCGCGCGTATTAACTCAGTGTACATGTCAACGTTGACCCAACGTTGACATGTTCCACCGTTCCAAAGTTACAGGGAAGGCGCAAAGTTCATAAAATCAGAGTTTGAGTCGCGAAGCGAGCGAGCCCCCACCCCTGGCTAGACCCCCGGGCACTGCCCCCCTCCACGTCCGTGTTGAGGACTCGAACTACCAGACCGAGGGTTTAATCTCATCGACCCTGCTGTGTTCAAGCATCACACGGCAGGTCACAACAACACACTCACCCAACCACCTACTCACTCACCCACTCACTCACCGACCATCCCACACACTCACCCTACCACCTACTCACTCACCGACTATCCCACACACTCACCCTACCACCTACTCACTCACTCACTCACCGACTATCCCACACACCCACCCTACCACCTACTCACTCACCGACTATCCCACACACTCACCCTACCACCTACTCACTCACCGACTATCCCACACACTCACCCTACCACCTACTCACTCACTCACCGACTATCCCACACACTCACCCTACCATCTACTCACTCACTCACTCACCGACTATCCCACACACTCACCCTACCACCTACTCACTCACCGGCTATCCCACACACTCACCCTACCACCTACTCACTCACTCACCGGCTATCCCACACACTCACCCAACCACCTACTCACCCACTCACTCACCGACTATCCCACATACTCACCCTACCACCTACTCACTCACTCACCGACTATCCCACACACTCACCCTGCCACCTACTCACCCACTCACTCACCAACTATCTCACACACTCACCCTACCACCTACTCACTCACCGACTATCCCACACACTCACCCAACCATCTACTCACTCACTCACCGACTATCCCACACACTCACCCTACCACCTACTCACTCACCGACTATCCCACACACTCACCCTGCCACCTACTCACTCACTCACCGACTATCCTACACACTCACCCTACCACCTACTCACTCACTCACCGGCTATCCCACACACTCAGCCTGCCACCTACTCACCCACTCACTCACCGACTATCCCACACACTCACCCTGCCACCTACTCACTCACTCACCGACTATCCCACACACTCACCCTACCACCTATTCACTCACTCACCGGCTATCCCACACACTCACCCTGCCACCTACTCACCCACTCACTCACCGACTATCCCACACACTCACCCACTCACCGACTATCCCACACACTCACCCTACCACCTACTCACTCACCGACTATCCCACACACTCACCCTACCACCTACTCACCCACTCACTCACCGACTATCCCACACACTCACCCTACCACCTACTCACTCATTCACCCACTATCCCACACACTCACCCTACCACCTACTCACCCACTCACTCACCGACTATCCCACACACTCACCCTACCATCTACTCACTCACCGACTATCCCACACACTCACCCTACCACCTACTCACTCACTCACCGGCTATCCCACACACTCACCCTACTACCTACTCACTCACTCACCGGCTATCCCACACACTCACCCAACCACCTACTCACCCACTCACTCACCGACTATCCCACATACTCACCCTACCACCTACTCACTCACTCACTCACCGGCTATCCCACACACTCACCCTACCACCTACTCACTCACTCACCGACTATCCCACACACTCACCCTGCCACCTACTCACCCACTCACTCACCGACTATCCCACACACTCACCCTACCACCTACTCACCCACTCACTCACCGACTATCCCACACACTCACCCAACCATCTACTCACTCACCGACTATCCCACACACTCATCCTACCACCTACTCACTCACTCACCGACTATCCCACACACTCACCCTGCCACCTACTCACTCACCGACTATCCCACACACTCACCCTACCACCTACTCACTCACTCACCGGCTATCCCACACACTCACCCTGCCACCTACTCACCCACTCACTCACCGACTATCCCACACACTCACCCTACCACCTACTCACCCACTCACCGATTATCCCACACACTCACCCTACCACCTACTCACTCACTCACCGACTATCCCACACACTCACCCTACCACCTACTCACCCACTCACTCACCGACTATCCCACACACTCACCCTACCACCTACTCACTCACTCACTCACCCACTATCCCACACACTCACCCTACCACCTACTCACCCACTCACTCACCGACTATCCCACACACTCACCCTACCATCTACTCACTCACTCACGGACTATCCCACACACTCACCCAACCAACCACCTACTCACTCACTCACTCACCCACTATCCCACACACTCACCCAACCAACCACCTACTCACCCACTCACTCACCGACTATCCCACACACTCACCCTACCACCTACTCACTCACTCACTCACCGACTATCCCACATACTCACCCAACCACCTACTCACTCACTCACCGACTCTCCCACCCACTCACTGACTATCCCACACACTCACCCTACCACCTACTCACTCACTGACTATCCCACACACTCACCCAACCACCTACTCACTCCCCCACTCACTCACTCACCGACTCTCCCACCGACTATCCCACACACTCACCGACTATCCGACACACTCACTCACCGACTCTCCCACCGACTCTCCCACCGAATCACCGACTCTCCCACACACTCACCCTGCCACCTACTCACTCACCGACTATCCCACACACCCTACTCACTCACCGATTCTACCACCCACTCACTGACTATCCCACACACTCACCCTACCACCTACTCACTCACTGACTATCCCACACACTCACCCAATCACCTACTCACTCCCCCACTCACTCACTCACTCACCGACTCTCCCACCGACTATCCCACACACTCACCGACTATCCCACACACTCACTCACCGACTCTCCCACCGACTCTCCCACCGAATCACCGACTCTCCCACACACTCACCCTGCCACCTACTCACTCACCGACTATCCCACACACCCTCCCACCTACTCACTCACCGACTCTACCACACACTCACCCTACCACCTACTCAGTCACTCACCGACTATCCCACACACTCACCCTACCACCTACTCACCCCTCACTCACCGACTATCCCACACACTCACCCTACCACCTACTCACTCACTCACCGACTATCCCACACACTCACCCTACCACCTACTCACCCACTCACTCACCGACTATCCCACACACTCACCCTACCACCTACTCACTCACCGACTATCCCACACACTCACCCTACCACCTACTCACCCCTCACTCACCGACTATCCCACACACTCACCCTACCACCTACTCACTCACTCACCGACTATCCCACACACTCACCCTACCACCTACTCACCCACTCACTCACCGACTATCCCACATACTCACCCTACCACCTACTCACTAACTCACTGACTCTACCACCCACTCACTGACTATCCCACACACTCACCCAACCACCTACTCACTCCCCTACTCACTCACTCACCGACTCTCCCACCGAATCACCGACTATCCCACACACTCACCGACTATCCCACACACTCACCGACTCTCCCACACACTCACAGACTATCCCACACACTCACCCTACCACCTACTCACTCCTCGACTCTACCACCCATCCACCACACCGCAAGTCACCATCACTTCTCCTGGCATCGTTCCACTGTGGATTCCCCTCCTCCCACCATCACCACCATCGTCTCTATCCCCCAAGCTCTTACAACAAAAACAATAATAATAATCATCTCGCTCAAAGCATACAAAACACGTGTTAACAACTGGTATCTCTCACAACAAACTGTTTAGCGCAAATCCTCGATGGGCAACCTGGTGGGGCGTGGGGATCGATGAGGAGGGGACATCCCCCCCAGCCCGCCGTGAGAAATTGGCTTAATTAGCTCACTAATTATAATGAGTAAGCTCACTAATTATAATGAGCTCACTAATTATAATTAGGGGTGTGACGTGGGGGGGGGGGTCAGGGATGGGGCCCGGGGGCTCGGGTTACGAGGGTGGGGGGGCGGACACGGACCCCGGTGACGTCACTCACTGAGTCACACTTTATGAATGGCGCGGTGGCGTGAGCACGTGCGTGTGTGTCCGTGTGTGTGTGGTGTGTGTGTGTCTGGTGTGTGTACGTGTGTGGTGTGTGTCTGGTGTGTGTACGTGTGTGGTGTCTGGTGTGTGTACGTGTGTGGTGTCTGGTGTGTGTACGTGTGTGGTGTCTGGTGTGTGTACGTGTGTGGTGTGTGTGTACGTGTGTGGTGTGTCTGGTGTGTGTACGTGTGTGTGTCTGGTGTGTGTACGTGTGTGATGTGTGTGTGTGTCTGGTGTGTGTACGTGTGTGGTGTGTGTGTGTCTGGTGTGTGTACGTGTGTGGTGTGTGTGTCTGGTGTGTGTACGTGTGTGGTGCGTGTCTGGTGTGTGTACGTGTGTGGTGTGTGTCTGGTGTGTGTACGTGTGTGGTGTGTGTACGTGTGTGGTGAGTGTCTGGTGTGTGTACGTGTGTGGTGTGTGTGGACGTGTGTGTGGTGTGTGTCTGGTGTGTGGACGTGTGTATAGTGTGTGTGTCTGGTGTGTCCGTGTGTGTGTCTGGTGTGTTTGGTGTGTGTCTGGTGTGTCTGGTGTGTGTGTGTGGTGTGTGTCTGGTGTGTGTACGTGTGTGTTTGGTGTGTACGTGTGTGTACATGTGTTTGTGTGGTGAGCGGTAGTGTAGTGGTTAGCGCGCTGCGCTACGAACCCGGTGACCCGAGTTCGATTATCTGAACCCCCTAGGTCGACTCAGCCTCAAACGAGTACCTGGTGCGTTGTGTAAAACATCGCCACTAGGGAGACAAAGGCGGCCGGGTGTGGTTGCTGGCCACCCACCCCACCCCCTCGCGTGCCGTGACGGTCTTCATAGGAGCTCGCTAACAGTACTTGCCTTAACAGCCTGTTAATGCTATACGGGGGTTCTTTGTCATTGTATGAGCTAATGCCCCCCCCCCCCCCACGTCACGACGCTATTCATAACCGTGAGGTCACTGCGTGTCGCTACCCACACGGACAGAGACCGCGCGTCCCATCATCCCCCTGGGGGCCGGTAAACTCGGCACCGTCAACTCCGTGGGAAGGCGGCGGTGTTCCGTAAAGGAAACCCGACACCCGCCATGGGAATGTGGAATTTCCCAGGCTCGTTTCAGTGCAGCCAATAGTAGGTGAGCTCCACCCCACAGCTAATAGGAGCAAGGAGACGTGTCGACCTTGCTTGCCACTACAGTCTATAGAGTACTGTATGTAATACAGTACTCTATAAGTATTACATCTCGTCACCCATCTCGTCACCCACCTCGACACCCACCTCGTCACCCATCTCGTCATCTATCTCATCACCCACCTCGATACCCATCTCGTCACCCACCTCGTCACCCATCTCGTCACCCACCTCGTCATCCACCTCGTCACTCACCTCGTCATCCACCTCGTCACCCATCTCGTCATCCACCTCGTCATCCACCTCGTCACCCATCTCATCAGCGCTCCATCTTCTCGACGGAAGCTCCTCTCGGACGCGTCCCGTTGCTTAGGCGACGTTTCGCGCTGCGGCCATGTGTTCATTGTCGTATGCGCTCTAAAGAGGCATTGCCAGGAACGTTGTCTGTATATAAATGTCTATGTGTGTGTGTCCCCTTTGAAGGCCATGCGGAACGCGTTGAGTTGTTGTCGTCTGTGCTTGAGCGTCGCCAGATAGTCATTCATTGTTTGTGACCATCGTCCAACACCCCGACTCACCCCGTTAAATCGAATCATCTTGAACCATCAGCTCAGGGAGTGCCGCAATCGGTCAGTGGGTCACAATATTCGATTTGTGTCGCATTGTCGCACCTAGGCGATCACACAGGCTGCTTCGAAACATGGTAACGCTTTTCGATTTAAAGCTTTCGTGACTGCAGGGATTCATATTCTTGGTTCTTTCGGTAAAGTCACGTAGAAAGGAAATAATAAAAATAAAATACAATTCTCACGACGTTTCGGCCACAACGCAAGCAGCCGTCCTCAGGTGAAGAAACAGAGCTGTCGGAAAGACAGAAACAGAGCTGTAGGACGCTGTCTTTCCGACAGCTCTGTTTCTTCACCTGAGGACGGCTGCTTGCGTTGCGGCCGAAACGTCGTGAGAATTTTATTATATTGTTTTATTATTTCCCTTCTACGTGACTTTACCGAAAGAATCAAGAATATGTTAACACTTATACGAGACTATCGTTTTTAATGGAAAAAGAACGAATAAATAACTGTAACATGATAATAAATGTAATGTTAATAGCTTCAAAAAGTCAGAGAGTCTCCACGTGTTCACCATCATTGGCAACACGTGGCCTGGAATCTTCTCCAGTTGGTCTCCAGAGCCCGGAGGCAGCAGCACATGTCACGTGGTGTTGTTGCAAATTCTCCGAAGTGTTCACGTTTTTCTGAAGCACCCGGTACATCGCGGCTCCTCTTGCTTCATCACATCATTACATAAATGTTGTTGTTGTTCTACGACACTGTTGTTGAAAACAAATCCTATGGTGGTTGTCAAGGGGGCCCCAACTCGTAGCTTTGGCCGCCAGAGGGGGGCCAAGGCGCCCCGTGCCTGCCCCCCGCGCTCGTTACGCTCCTGCTTACAACCCCCCCCCCCCCCCCCAAAGATCCTCCGTATAGCCTTGAACAGGTTGTTGGGGCAAGTGCTGTTTGCGAGCACCTATGAAGGCTTGAATGGCACACGACCGGGTGGACGGCGTCTACACGCGCACCCCGTGTAGGAAGGCCGCGTCGACCCGAGCGGAGCGCCAGAACCCGTTCAGATTATTCGTCACCGATGCCGGCGGCCGCGACGGGGGAATCGAACCCGGAGGCCTCTCGCTGACCCCCCACCCCCCACCCCACAGGTACTACTGCAGGCGGTGTCGGGACTGCGCGCTGGGGGGCCGCGTGATGCTGGCGGGGTGCTCGCGGGCACGGGACGCGGTGTGCGGGGGCTGCGCCCGGCCCGGCGCCCGCTACGACGCCCGCGTGCTGGCGTGCGTCCCCGACGGGGAGCACGAGCGCAGGGGGAACGAGCCGGCGGCGTCCAGCACGCGCGTGGACAACATCACGGAGCAGGTCATAGAGGGTGAGCCGGCGAGGCGGGGCGGCGGAGGGGGCATCCCGCGCGTGCCGTCATCCCGCCTGGCACGCGTTGCCGCCGCCGCCGCCGCGAGGTCACCGCGGTCATCGCATCATCGCTCGCCATCACGCGCGCCGTCGCCACGTAGCGAGAGCGAGGTTTTGATTTTGAGGTTGGAGCGGGCGAGTGATCGGTGAATGTGGTGAGAGCTGGCGAGCGAGTCGGTAGGGGGGCGAGCGTTAGGAGTAGACGAGTGAGCGATTACAGGGAGTGGGTGAGCGACTGGGCAAGTGCTTGGGTGAGTGTACACCCCACACACCCCACACACCTCACACCAACGTACAAATCCACACCGTAACTATCCCCCCCCCCCTTTTCTCTGACCCCCTACCTCCATTCTCTCCCCTTCTACCCCCCCCCATCCCTTCTCTCTCCTTCTCCTTCCTCACTGCCGCCGCCGCCCCCCGCAGTGCTGCTGGGCCCCAGGGACGTGGTGCGGGCTCCGTGGTTCGCCCCGGCGCTCTGCCTCGCCGCGCTCGCCGTGCTGCTCCTGACGGGGCTCGCGCTGCACATGCGGCTACGCAGCGGAGACGACGCCGTGCGGGGGCGCTGTGCAACCTGCGGGCACGCGTGATGGCGGGGGGGGGCACGCGTGATGGTGGGGGGGGGGGGACAGAGGGGGCGACAAAGCCGGGAAAGGGAATTGGGGGCTATAGTGAGAGGGGAGCTGGGGTGGGGGGGGGCAGGGAGGTCACGCTCGCACCCCCTTGCTCACCATCAGCCGTGATCGATCCACTGCAGGACGATGGAGACCCCCTCCCCCCGCCTCCGCGATGTAAAACAATCTACCTAGCGCCTGGCACACGAGGTGATTTCGCAGCTCCGTCTCCGCGGCGGGGCGTCCGCTCGGGTGCCGCGTTCCTCCTCCGGCTGCCGACGGCGCCGCTCGCCGTCGGCCAATCAGCTCGGAGCCGCCGCGGCTCGGCGTGGCCGCAATGTTTGTCGTCGTCGTCGTCGACGTTTGTTGTTGGTGTGGTTGTTGTAATTTATATTGTACGTGCACTTGCGCCTGTGACAACAGGTGGCGGGCCCTGTGAAACACGCGGCTTTGTCTTTGCTAAATAAATAAAAATCCTCGACGTCATTTGAATACTGTAGAGTGAATTAACGACGGTGTCAACTTGTGACACTGCGCCGCGCGGGTTTCGCTCGGCGCTTTCGGAGAGAGAGAGAGAGAGCGGACGACTAGGAGGCGTGGGGAGGAACCACAGACCAGTGGGAAAGGCAGCGGCAGCATCCGGGCTGCGAGGAGCCGGCGCTACCAACAATTGCCCAAGCTCTGAGGTCCGCTATATGTGAAGGTCTTATTGGCCTAATTGATGAGCGTTTATATGTGTGGAAGAGCATTGGGGAGAAACCCCAAGCATGTGTGCCTGCATGCGAGGGGGGAACACTCTATCCCATACAGACAGAACACATTTTTGCTGTTCTGCCTTCTGGCGAGCCAGGCAGGGGACGCCTCCTTGACGCTCACGGGAGGAGAGTTTCGCGCAATCCACCAACCCTCACTGCTGCCTCCAGCACACTGCTGGATTACAGGCAGCCAAGTGCAAAGTCACCACCGCCACCGTCATCATCATCAGGGGTGGGCGATGCGTTAATATATTTAAGGAGGTGGGTGGACATAGAAGAAGCCTGCGAGAGAAGAATGGTGGAGTGGGGGGGGGTGGATGATTGGGTGATGGCAATGCCCGTGAAGACGACAACAACACGAAGTGCAACTTCATGAAGTTACACTTCATGTTGCTGATCGGCACTTCGCCGAGAAAATCGGACAATTTGATTTCAAGGAGTTTACCAAAATTTGGAATACTATTACAGAGCAAATATTAACCACGTGCAAACAAACAAACGCAGTTTAGCCCTGAAGGCCTTCTGTTATGGCTGTTTTATTAATTAAGCAATGTCGTGCTTACGAAGAGGACTGCTGCGTGAATATGAAGCGTTGGGTCTTTGCCACGCGTATCCAAGGTTTCATCCCTAATCAGTTTTAATTTGAAGATATAAGCAATCTTACGTTATAAGCAGTTCAGGTATTGGATACAGAATCATGGATGGATCCAGGTTCCTGTGTAGACCCGGGTTCCAGTGCAGACCCAGGTTCCTGTGTAGACCCAGGTTCCTGTGTAGACCCAGGTTCCTGTGTAGACCCGGGTTCCTGTGTAGACCCGGGTTCCAGTGTAGACCCGGGTTCCTGTGTAGACCCAAGTTCCTGTGTAGACCCAAGTTCCTGTGTAGACCCGGGTTCCTGTGTAGGCCCGGGTTCCAGTGTAGACCCGGGTTCCAGTGTAGACCCGGGTTCCTGTGTAGACCCGGGTTCCTGTGTAGACCCGGGTTCCAGTGTAGACCCGGGTTCCTGTGTAGACCCGGGTAATTTATATTGTACGTGTAGACCCAGGTTCCTGTGTAGACCCAGGTTCCTGTGTAGACCCAGGTTCCTGTGTAGACCCGGGTTCCTGTGTAGACCCAGGTTCCTGTGTAGACCCGGGTTCCTGTGTAGACCCAGGTTCCTGTGTAGACCCAGGTTCCTGTGTAGACCCGGGTTCCCGTGTGGGCTCAGGTGTGGTGAGAGAGGCTCTCAGGTGAGTCTGAACTGCCTGCACAATGGTGTCCACTTCCGCCATGGCACCCAGACCTGCAGTGAGGGTCATCAGGGGGGTGGTGGTGAGGGTCGGTGAGCAGTGTGGTGAGCAGTGTGATGAGTAGTGCGATTATATAGCATCTAATCCCGTCGGTCGGTTCTATTGCTTGGACCAATCGGAATGAGTGGGTGAGTGTTGTTGTGACCTACAGTGTGGTGAGTTAGTTGAGTTAGTGGATACATTTGTGAATGAATGAGTTGTCACCTGCAGTGCGGTGAGTGAGCCAATGAATGAGTGAGCTGGTGGGTGGGTGAGCGTTGTCGTGACCTGCGGTGTGCTGAGAGGGTTAGTGAACCAGGGAGCTGGTGGGTGGGTGAGCGTTGCCATGACTTCCGGTGTGCTGAGAGGGTGAGTGAGCCAATGAATGAGTGAGCTGGTGGGTGGGTGAGCGTTGCCATGACCTCCGGTGTGCTGAGAGGGTGAGTGAGCCAATGAATGAGTGAGCTGGTGGGTGAGTGAGCGTTGTCGTGACCTGCGGTGTGCTGAGAGGGTGAGTGAGCCAATGAATGAGTGAGCTGGTGGGTGGGTGAGCGTTGCCGTGACCTGCGGTGTGCTGAGAGGGTGAGTGAGCCAACGAATGAGTGAGCTGGTGGGTGGGTGAGCGTTGCCGTGGCCTGCGGTGTGCTGCTAGTTGAACACAGCGTGGCGATGCACGAGGTGACGCAGTCACCGTCTGGTTCGGCCAAACTCTCAACACGGCCGGAGGGATCAAACGAGCCAAGCTGTGCGGTAGCGGCGACAGACGAGTGCCAAGGAGGGGACTGGGCGCGCGAGCGTACCCGTGTCTCCGCACGCGAGGGTCTTGCTCACGCACGCCACCTCCTCATAGCCCAGCTGGCGCAGCGCGCGCGTGTGGGCGCCCGTGAGCGGGTGATCCCACATGTGCGTGTTCATCGCCGGGCAGAAGAGCAGCGGGCGGTCTCGGTCCCAGGCTCGCACCACACACATCTACGTGTGCGGGGAAGGGGAGGGGGGGAGGTATACATGGAAGGGGGGTTGGGTGCACAAGGGGGATATGCGAGATGGCTTCCCATAGAGACAAAGATACTCGCACAGGGACTCATAGGCTCGCATAGAGACCCATAGGGTATTGTAGAGACCCACTGACTCGCACAAAGACCCATAGGCTAACGTAGAAGCCCAGAGGTTTACATCAAGATAACACAGGCTCACATAGAGACCAAGAGTCACGCAGAGGCCCACAGTCTCTCACACACACCAAAAAGTGAAAATGGGAATCCGAGAGACATCCACACTTGTGCCCCCCCGCCGCACCCCTGCTCACCCCCCCCGCCCACCCCCCACGCCGCCCGCAGCTCCGCACACTTCACCCCCGCCCGCTCACCAGCAGGTTGTCACAGAGGCCGCCGGCCACCTTGGCGAGGGAGTTGGCGTCGAGCGGGGCGAGGAGCAGGAGGTCGGCCCAGCGGCGCAGATCCACGTGGAGCACCGGGTCACCCAGACGCGTCCATGTCTGGGGTGGGGGCGGGGGCAGCATAGGAAATAAATATCCCCCCTCGACCCCCACCCACCACCAATGTTCCATCCCGATTGCGCTATTATCGGCGGCGTTGCGTCTCGAGATGCCAAGATTCGTTTCGGAAAACTCGCAGGGCGGCGAGACCCCTTCGTGCTCCGTAGAGAACGGCCCGCGGAGGCGGATGTCACAGAGCTACATCTTCCTCTTCTTCAAGTGAGCTCCGCTCTGTGCACAGTGCAGAGGGCGGCTCTGCCACATGAGAGTAATGCTTGTCACGTGACGGTCACACTGACGTTCCGCATAGCCTCACGTGAGCACCTGGTGCGGTGTTTAAACATCAGCGCTAGGGAGACAAAGACGGTTACACCGCCTATCCTTGTACGCGTGCCATGTCTCTGCCTTCATTAGTGCTCGCTAATATAGCACTTGCTCCCAACAGTCTGTGTTAAATGCTATATGGGATCTTTGTCCTTGTATAGTGCGCGTGTGTATATGTGTGTGTGTGTGTGGCACCAGCGGTGTCATGATCGGCCTCTGTGGAGGAATAGGCTCGTGAAGGATGCTGCTACTGGGCAGTTGGGAGGCAGTCGACCTCTAACCACAGCGGAGGGGCAGGGGAGCGAGCAAGTCGGCACCGTGGGGTGCACAGGTGGTGCATCTGCCAATCATCTCAGGCCGGCCGTAACACCTGGGGTCTGTCCCGTTACCGTCCGGCAGCGAGCCTTCCTCACTAGGTGCACCTAGCCTGGCACAAACGTCGTGGACACTCACCTGCCACTCGTCGGCGTCGCTGTAGACGGGGACTGGCAGTGACTCCGGTGCAAAGAAGTGCTTCGCGTGCTCCGTGCACACCACACGCACCTCCGGCTACAAAAAGACAAAGATCCCCCGTATAGTTTTAACAGGAATGTTGCAGCTAGTGCTGTTAGCGAGCACCTATGAAGGCCGGCACGGCACACGAGGGGGTGGGCGGCCAGCACCACGCCCGACCGCCTTTGTCTCCCGAGTGGCGATGTTTTTACACATCAGACCAGGCACTCATTTAAGGCTGAGTCGATCTAAGGAAAGCCAAGGACCGGTTCAGATAATCATCACCGGTGTTGGCCGCTACGCGACCGCTCCCCTTCGGCTGCACACACAGGTGTGGGTTCAGACACGTGGCGGTCCATCTGCCAGCAGGGGCGTAAGCAAGCAATTGCAGGGCTGCACCTTTATCTGTTTGGACTCATAGACTAACATATGACCCATAGACTAACACAGAAATCATAGACGCACACAAGGGTCACAATTGCATCGGGACTCAATAGACTAACACACGAGTCATAGCCGTATAATATAAAAGGGAAATCTGTGATTATGTGGGTCTGTTAAAAATGTTAAGCATACTTCCCGACATGCAACAAACTTGGAATTTGGCATGTGGGTAGTTTCCAGACTGTACAGCATGCAAACATTATTAAAAATACACTTTTGTATTGGGGGGGGGCGCAATAATGTATATATTTTGCGTGGCAGGTGGGCGGTGACGTCACATCTGTGATGTCACCCGCATGCGGCAGCGTCACGCAGTGTGCCTGCTGACGTCACGCACCCCCCCCCCCCCCCACGTAGGCCGCTGTGTTACCGTAAAACAAGACAAGAATCCAAGTCTCGGACGAGCCGGTGAGTAGTAAAGCTAGTAGCCGTATATAATTACAATGGACTCACATAGGGCCAGTGGAAGAGTAGGCCAAATACTCCTCGACTAGAGCTCCCTATAGTGGGATAGTGGGGGGGGGGGGGGCTCTTTCACCAGCAGGGTCGTGAGCGAGCGATTGTAGGGCTGAACCTTTATCCTGCACCCTCTCAAGCAAATGACGATGATGAAATACAGACGACGAAGTCTCAATGATGATGGTGGTGATGATGGTGATGATGGTGGTGGTGATGGTGGTGATGATGGTGGTGGTGATGATGGTGGTGATGATGGTGATGGTGGTGATGATGGTGATGATGATGGTGGTGATGATGGTGATGATGGTGATGGTGGTGATGGTGGTGATGATGATGGTGATGATGGTGATGATGATGATGGTGGTGACGATGATGGTGGCGATGATGGTGGTGATGATGGTGGTGACGATGATGGTGATGATGATGGTGGTGATGATGGTGATGATGGTGATGGTGGTGATGATGGTGGTGATGATGATGGTGGTGATGATGGTGATGATGATGATGGTGGTGATGATGGTGGTGATGATGGTGGTGATGATGGTGATGGTGGTGATGATGGTGGTGATGATGGTGGTGATGATGATGGTGGTGATGATGGTGGTGGTGATGATGATGGTGGTGATGATGGTGGTGATGATGGTGATGATGATGATGGTGGTGACGATGGTGGTGATGATGGTGGTGATCATGGTGGTGACGATGATGGTGATGATGATGGTGGTGATGATGGTGATGATGGTGGTGATGATGGTGGTGATGATGATGATGATGGTGGTGATGATGGTGATGATGATGATGGTGGTGATGATGGTGGTGGTGATGGTGGTGATGATGGTGATGATGATGATGGTGGTGATGATGGTGGTGATGATGGTGATGGTGGTGATGATGATGGTGGTGATGATGGTGATGATGGTGATGATGGTGGTGACGATGATGGTGGTGATGATGATGGTGGTGATGATGATGGTGGTGATGATGGTGATGATGGTGGTGGTGATGATGATGGTGGTGATGATGGTGATGATGGTGGTGGTGATGATGGTGATGATGGTGGTGATGATGATGGTGATGATGATGGTGGTGATGATGGTGGTGATGATGGTGATGATGGTGGTGATGATGATGGTGATGATGGTGATGATGGTGATGATGATGGTGATGATGATGGTGATGATGATGGTGATGATGATGGTGGTGATGATGATGGTGATGATGGTGATTATGATGATGGTGATGATGATGAAGTACAGACGACGTCTCAATGGTGATGATGGTGGTGATGGTGATGATGGTGGTGATGATGGTGATGATGATGGTGATGATGAAGTACAGATGACGACCTCTCGCTGCACCTGCTGGGGCAGAGCGAGGAGGCGAGCCACCAGCAGCGGCAGCTTCACCGATGCGACGCTGCCCGTGGCTCCCAGCAGCACGCGGGGCCGCCTCCCCGCCCCCCCTCCTCCCTGCGCCATGGGGCCCCTCGAGCCCCCCTCCAGCCCCCCCCCTGGGTCGCCCCCCGAGGTCGCGGCACTTCGATACCGCTCCTGCCGGACTGCAGTGCAGTGCACGCGTCCCCTTTAGAATCGAATCGTGTGCGACGTTGTAGTCATACCGATTCACTGCAGATCGATTCTAATCACCCATCGCGATTTGCATTTCGTGTGTCGTTTTGTGTTGGTGGTTGAGGCGTGTTGAACCATTATGGGAGTCTGAATTGCGACTCGATACATCTATGGATAGTTTTTGTTAGTGGATGTTGTAATCATGCCGGCTGTTCGGGAATATGTAACGATCCGGCAACTGGCGATCCACATTCGCGATTAATTTCGTCGATTCTCAAAGTGCCGTTCAATGGGGGTGCTGGACACGTTCCGTGAATCGTGGAATCGCGACCTCGTTAGTCGCGATTCACCCACCGGCGATTCCATCAGGGTGGCAGAAACCGTGACGCCGGTCAACGTTTCGGGCAATGGCCCTTTCTGCATGGGCACACACACACACACTGTAAATAGAGGCCCAGCAGAGAGACAGAGATCATAGCTTTGAAAAACTGTCTCTCTCTAATGGGATCTCCGCTCAAAAGATTGCTCCAGCTTAATTAAACGTTCTTATTCTGGAATCCCAACACAAAACCGTTTCACTTTTTCAAACATCGTGGGGGGGGGGGGGGGGGGGGGGGGGTTGAGGCGGGTTGCCAACAACTCTCAACTGCAGCTATTCCGGGAGACGTTTTAAATTGACATCAATTAGTTTCATTAAATTATCCTCTATTTTTAAAATGTTCTGGATTGCTTTCGACCGTCACCGGGAGATTGGTCACCAATTCCGATCGAGACTCCCGGCCAAACCGAGAGGGTGGGCAACCCCACGCAATCGGAGTCTTTATTTAGGCCGCAAGAGGAATCCGATGAGCTATGAAGCTCTTGTTTTCACAGACGCCACCACTAGATGGCACGAGTCCTTGTTGAAAGTGTGCGGTGAGTCCACGGTGAGTCCACTGCCGTGTTAAATCCTCACTAGAGTCCAGGGATATACTCATTGTGTTGACAGAGGGGAGAGTTATGGGGTGAGGCGAGAGAGGAGCCGGCCCAGCCGCTAGGGGTCGCTGTCTCCACGCGGGGCCGGCGTGCCGAGACCCCTGGAGCCCCTCCCCGAGACCCCTGGCCTTGGGGGTGTCTATCCAAGCTATGAATTCGAGATAGTCTCCCAGGACGGATTGTATTTGTTAGTCTGGATGGGTGCGGGTTGAGGCGTGCTCGCGGTGCTGGCCACCCACGGCCCTCGTGTGCCGTGCCGGCCTCCAGCACGTGCCGGCCTCCAGCACGTGCCGCGTGCTGCTCGCTCACAGCACTTGCCTCCCCAACAGTCTGTTAAGGCGACACGGGGGGGGGGGGTCTTTGGGGAGCGGTGGCGCAGCAGTTAGCGCTACGCTGCGCTACGAACCCGGCAACCCGAATTCGATTCCCGCTCCCGGCAAACACCGCTGGGTGATTCTATCTGAACCGGTCCCGGGCCTCCACGAGGTCCAACTCAGTGCGGTGTAAGCATCAGCAAACATCAGCATTGTAAACATCAGCATTGTAAACATCAGCATCGTAAACATCAGCATTGTAAACATCATCATTGTAAACATCAGCATTGTAAACATCAGAAAACATCAGCATTGTAAACATCAGTATTGTAAACATCAGCAACATCAGCAAACATCAGTATTGTAAACATCAGCAAACATCAGCATTGTATTCTAGATTTAAAGCTTTCGTGACTGCTAGGATCCATACTCTTTGGTTCTATTGGGTAAAGTCACGTAGGTGAAAATAAAATAACAAAAAATCACGACGTTTCGGCCACAACACAAGCGGCCTTCATCAGGTGAAGGGACGAGACTGTCTGGAGGACAGCGCTGGAGTGAGAGAAGCCACGCTTAGATCACGACCTTTAAGCTGTGTGAGAAGAAAACAAAGCGCCTTGACAAAGGAATTAGCATATAATTTAGCATTGAAATGGCTCATTGAAATAGCTAAGTTAAAGTATACACATCCGCACATACCTTGTAACTGGTCACAGAAATAGTTATTTTAAAGTCAGAGCATATACATTCACCGAGGCACCTAGTACTAATCAAACAGGAGAATTTAGCGAAACACAACCACGTTCAGACAGCGGACCTTTAAACTGTGTGCTAGCAAACAAGGTGTTCTGACAAATAAATTAGCATAAAAATTAGCATTTGATTGGCGGATTTTAGGAAAGAGGTGGTGTACGTGCCGGTGGACTTGCCGTTTGGCGCGGGGGGGAGGGGGAGTTTACCTATTGATGGTGTGAAAAGGGAATTTATAAGAGCTGCGAAAGTTTGGGGGTACCACTACTTGAAAAAATATACTGTACCATTGAAATTAGTTTAATGTTTAGTTCGATTTAGAACATCTTTCCAATGGTTGCTTAATTTGAAACCATCTTTTCGGTTCAAATTGTGTCTGTGTTTGTAGATCTGAATTGCTTCATGAACAAATCTCTGATAAAAACCCGTGGGTTTGCAAAGAACCTTGGTATCGGAGAAAATTATATCGTGATCCACCACAGCGTTGTAACAGTGATCAGCAACGGCAGAATCACTGATCACTGTTACAACGCTGTGGGGGATCACGATATAATTTTCTCCGATACCAAGGTTCTTTGCAAACCCACGGGCTTTTATCAGAGATTTGTTCATGAAGCAATTCAGATCTACAAACACAGACACAATTTGAACCGAAAAGATGGTTTCAAATTAAGCAACCATTGGAAAGATGTTCTAAATCGAACTAAACATTAAACTAATTTCAATGGTACAGTATATTTTTTCAAGTAGTGGTACCCCAAACTTTCGCAGCTCTTATAAATTCCCTTTTCACACCATCAATAGGTAAACTCCCCCCCCCCCCCGCGCCAAACGGCAAGTCCACCGGCACGTACACCACCTCTTTCCTAAAATCCGCCAATCAAATGCTAATTTTTATGCTAATTTCTTTGTCAGAACACCTTGTTTGCTCGCACACAGTTTAAAGGTCCGCTGTCTGAGCGTGGTTGTGTTTCGCTAAATTCTCCTGTTTGATTAGTACTAGGTGCCTCGGTGAATGTATATGCTCTGACTTTAACATAGCTATTTCTGTGACCAGTTACAAGGTAATCACTCAGCTATTTCAATTCTATGCTAATTCCTTTGTCAAGGGGTACCTCTGCGGATGTGTATACTTTAACTTAGCTATTTCAATGAGCCATTTCAATGCTAAATTATATGCTAATTCCTTTGTCAAGGCGCTTTGTTTTCTTCTCACACAGCTTAAAGGTCGCGATCTAAGCGTGGCTTCTCTCACTCCGGCACTGTCCTCCAGACAGTCTCGTCCCTTCACCTGATGAAGGCCGCTTGTGTTGTGGCCGAAACGTCGTGATTTTTTGTTATTTTATTTTCACCTATGTGACTTTACCCAATAGAACCAAAGAGTATCAGCATTGTAAACATCAGCAAACATCAGCATTGGGGAGACAAAGGCGGCCGGGGGGTGGTGCTGGCCACCCGCCCCTTCCATGCGCCGTGTCGGCCTTCATGGGTGTTGTTCCCTAACAGCACTTGCCCCAAGGGTCTGATAAGGCGCTATACGGGGGATCTTTGTCTTTGTGAGCAGTGTAAGTTTATGTCGCTGTGTGGATGTCAACGTGTCCGCGTCTCTGTGAGTGACGTGTGAGTATGATTGTGATCTCCTTATATCCCCGTGCCATTGTGTGTCGGTGTCATTGCGTCATCGCGGGGTATGTGACAAGAGCTGAGTGTGTGTGTCAGTGTGTGTGTGTCAGCGTGTGTGTGTCAGTATGTGGGTGTGTGTCAGCGTGTGTGTGTGTCTGTGTGTGTGTCAGTGTGTGTGTGTCAGCGTGTGTGTGTGTCAGCGTGTGTGTGTGTCAGTGTGTGTGTCAGTGTGTGTGTCAGTGTGTGTGTGTGTCTGTGTGTGTGTCAGTGTGTGTGCGTGTGTGTCAGTGTGTGTGTCAGTGTGTGTGTGTCAGTGTGTGTGTCAGCGTGTGTGTGTCAGTGTGTGTGTCAGTGTGTGTGTGCGTGTGTGTCAGTGTGTGTGTGTCAGTGTGTGTGTGTGTCAGCGTGTGTGTGTCTGTGTGTGTGTGCGTGTGTGTCAGTGTGTGTGTCAGCGTGTGTGTGTCAGTATGTGTGTGTGTGTCAGCGTGTGTGTGTCTGTGTGTGTGCGTGTGTGTCAGTGTGTGTCAGTGTGTGTCAGTGTGTGTGTGTGTGTCAGTGTGTGTGTCAGTGCGAAACGTGGACCCCCCTAATGGAACATCTTCGCCGGTTAGAAACATTTAGGCTGGCCTGCCTACGATCCAGCTTGGGTTTAACCAGGCTGGATTGTGTGAGGAGCTCACATATTCTTGAAAGATCTGGACAAAGTCCTATCGGTGAGCTCCTCCGGCAGGCAAGGCTGCGTTAGCTGGGTCATGTAGCCCGCATGCCCAGCCACCGCATGCCGAAACAGCTTTTGTTCGGCCGGATCGAGGGGGCTAAACGGGCGCGGCACGGGCTAGAGAAGAGATGGAGTGATGTGGTACAGGAGGACGTGGAGATGAGTGGACTTGCCGATGACTGGTACCAGCGGTGTCAAGATCGGCCTCTGTGGAGGAGGCTCGTGAAGGACGCTACTGGACAGTTGGAGGCAGTCGCCCTCCAACAACAACGGAGGGCGGAGGAGCGACGCTCACAACAACGAGCGGAGCGCCGGGTGGCTAAAGCACGGCAGGTTGGCACAGTAGGGGGCACAGGTGGTGCATCAGCCAGTCATCTCAGTCAGTCGACCCGTGGCACCTGGGTCTGCCCCGTGACCTCCTGCCAGCGGGCGTTCGACACTTCACGTGGCCTCAGGGTGCACATAGCCTGGCACAAGCGTCGTGGTGCCGTCACCGCCACTTAGTGGCGAATGGCGGCTGTTGTTGTGTCAGTGTGTGTGTCAGTGTGTGTGTCAGCGTGTGTGGTCAGTGTGTGTGTCAGTGTGTGTGTCAGTGTGTCAGTGTGTGTGTCAGCGTTTGTGTCA